CATTCGTGGATCGGCTCACCTTTTGCGTATAATACCGATAGAATACAGTGCGACAGGGATACTGGGCAGCTGGAATGAACCTCCTGCGTCACATGTCATTACGGCGAGACGGTGTAGTGCTGAGGCCGGATTGTGAGCCTGCCGAACCAGTTTGCTTTCACCTGTCAATGGGGGCTCGCTCGTCTATGCGGTCATTTCGGTCTAGATGATCGGACTGGTAAGGTCTAACAATCGAAAACAAGCGGTCAGTTTAACCAAACTTCTGTGCAGGGTATAATGGAGAGAGGGATGAGTGGCAGAAGGGCGAAACATGGGGAAGTTTATTGTTAAGGATGACCAAGGACAGTGGAAACTTAAGGAAAGCCGCTCAGGAAAAGAGGGGACTTAAGGAACCATACGGGCCTGATCGAACTTAGGGATGAACGATCACATTTTGCCGACCTACCGCATGGGAACTCGGAAAACACGGCTAAGATCGGGGTAAACGAGGGATCTCCGGGATATATTGAAGGGGGTTACGATGTAAGGCGAGAAATAGGGAACAGGACATTGTCGAGGCGCTGAGTAATCATCTCCTGGGCGAGCGCTCCATATCCCTCCAGTATCCACTCCAACCGAAGTGCGCGAAGTTCGTCTGGGTCGGACATCCCGCGAAGCTCGATGGCGTATAAGGCCGTAAGCATAACTGGGTAAATAGCGCGGTACCGGGCGAAGATAGCAGGTACGTATTTGTAGAGCGGTGCGTAAGAAAGAACACGGCGACCGAAAGGGGCTCCTAAGCAGGGCATAGTCAGCGGAACACTAAGTTCAGTAAGGCAAAAACGCACTGAACTGATCGAACTGTGGGCTACGGCGGAAGAGCTCCCATTCGAGGAAGTAGGAGTAGGTGCAGGTCAGACAGAGTCTTTTCTCGCAGCGTTTGCAGGGAAGTCCCCAGGTAACGAACGTGCAAGGGACCAGTGCGAGTCGGCACTCAGAACAGGCAAAGGGTGGCTGAAGACCTAAGTTAAAGTCGCGGTAAAGGGAGTTTAGCAGGAGGGGCTTACGACCATGTCCTCCAGCATAAAACTAGTAAATAACTCGTCGGGACTTTTTAGACTCGAAGCAGCGCTGTGAGGCGGCATGGCGGGGAAAGACAAAAGTCTGAGGCGCACTCAGGAGAACTAAGTCCAAGTAACCCATTTAATTGAAAGACAGAAAGTATGCAGAACGGATGCGCTCATCCCCGGCACCGCGCTTAACGTCCCTGCCAAACTGAAAAATCACTCTACCCCTGGCCTAGACACCGCAGAAAATCTGCTAATTTTGCCCGTCAACGGTCACTACAATTACCTTTCACCCCTTGTTTAAAAAACCGGCAATTGACTCAAATAGGCTGTGTACAAGTGAGTGCCTCTGGGTAGAGATTTTGATATATGCATTCGGCTTGGAATTTGAGGAGTATCAAACCTAAACGATCCATAATACTGAAGGGGGTTTGAGGTAACAAATGATTGCAACACTCTACGTGAACGAGAGTTCTTGATATATCAACATTCACAATAACCCCGGAATTGAGAGCCTGGAGCAAGACTTGTCGTGATGGCTGCCGGATTACTTTTCGCGTATAGATATTTCCTGGCAAATGGGGACATGCAACAAAGGAGATAAATGGGTGAAAGATGGCTGTCCGATGATCGCGAAAATATTTGCGGCGAGACCAATGAATTTTCTAAAGTGGGCAGGCCAGGGTGGAGCAATTACATGTCGCTAAGCCCGATGCCGAGGATGAATGCACACTTGGTCTTGCGATTGAATGGGAAATATCAGCAGAAACTCAAGGCGGTGATGTCAGGAGAACCGGCTCACTTCCCCGTCCAATATTCAGACTACGCGGATAACACCATTAGAATACAATGCGACAGGAACGTTGGGGGCCTGGAATCAAACTCCTGCGTCACATGTCATTACGGCGAGGCGGGATTGGAAGCGTACCGGAGCAGTTGCTCTCCGTCTGGTGGCACTTCTGGGGCATTGCCTATGTATAAAAGGCGCAGCGATTTCATCACTCAACTCATCAGCTCCCAGCTACAGTCACCCACTCATCCTTCAAACCATCTCATCCTTACCACTTCATCCAATATGCCTTCTCCCGTTGAGTCTGGTCAAGAGATCATGATCCCGTTGTTCGACGCCGAAGTTGCTGGAGCCCCAGTGCATGTCAACTGGCAGCAGAATCTGTCTCAGCGCAAGGCAGACTACTATGCACTTACCGCAGACAACATCACCACTGGTTAGTCACTGTCCTGCATTCAATCCAGATTAGTTGACCTTACCTCGTGACAGGCGAGCAGGTTCCTTTCTTCATCGCTGCCGAGTACTACAAGAGCAGCACGAAGGCGAACCCGAATCACATCACCAAGGTCGGAGAACTCGTCGAGGGCGGTAAGCTAGCTTTACATTTCACTCGTCATCCTGCTGTTCTCATCGCTTGTCCAAAAGAGGGCTACAAATTGAAAGTCGACGGTAGGTTGCAGTACGGTGATAGGCTGGCCCTGTGACCAGGCGTTAAATCTTTCAATTTTGCGTCTTTTGTTACTCACTAGGGCCATATAAACCAATAGATCACTCCAAGAGAGCTAGTGTGAGGTCCGAACATCTAGCTAAGGATATACTACGTGTACTACCTGTAGGCGCTCGGTTGTGATGACGGTACCACTATGGGCCAGATTCCCAAGCAGCTATACTACCTTTAGCTAAAGGTCGTCCACCCGTTCTGTGAGGAACTGGGACTTGCCTGCACGATCCTACCAAGGACATAGTTACTGCACGCCATCTAGACAATGGGCAATATGCTGGGGACCCAATTAGAGCCTGCACAACGTCGCGGCGGTCAAAGCGACCTCGCGCGGCGGCAAGTCCGACACTTCCCGATAAAGCCGATCAAGCTTTTGACAGGAAGTGTCAACGGTTTAACCGGACCGATGATCGGGCCAGCGGAACAACAACTCCGCGCGGCTAAATAGAGATCATCCGGTCTAGGCACTCGCTTTATCTAAAAAGCCTAGAAACCATATGGAGCTGTCATTAAACGCATGGGATCTGCAGCGCAGCAGCTGCGGATTCGAGTCAGAATGGAGCATGCCATGCGGCTCGTTCCTGGTGTGACTGAGGATGGAGGTCTCAGCCACCATTAAAATAATAAATATACCATTTTCTCGCGAACTGACTTTCAACAGGACCAGTTTCGCAGCTAAATGAGCTCAGAGCGTTTATCCGACGAGTTCTGAATACCCGTTTGTATTATTTTGTGACCAGATACTGTGATTTCCTTATTTAGATCTCTTGTTTGTATAAATACCTGTAGTTCTCTAGGAGGAAGCCAGTGGATTCTACCCTTTTTTACCCAGAGCCCAAGGCTACCAGCTAGGTCCTGTGTGGGAACGTCTAGACTCTATTCGGCACAACTCTAGGAACTTTTAGTTCTTTCAGTTAGCTTACATTGTGGGAATAAATTTGATTTCGATTGATATTTGAACGCGAGACAAGTTGAGAAGTTCGAAAGAGCTAATCAAGTGCAAGTTACAAGTTACCAGTACGCGCGAACAAGTTGAACATCGGATTTCTGTGGAGCTGTGACCTTCGTCGTTACTTTGCCATAAGTTTATCAAGCCCTTTACCAGAATATAAGTGCCAGACAAAAATCCTATTGATCTTAAGATCGCCTTGGAAGTAATTCCAAACCCCTGTTGTCCCAATTCTACTTTCCTTACCCTCTGAGGTCGCGTCAAGTGCCTAGAACGGTCTGGTTATCCCAAAGATCACCTTTAGCTAAAACCGCTTTTGCGTTGTAAAGTCCCAAATTGCCACTGCCTAATACCTGGTAGGAACCCCGAACTTGCGCGTTTGATAGTTTGAGTTGTTGTGTGTTGTTTGTGTTGTTGGTTGTTCACTTTTGTGCTCAGCTTCCACGCTTTATTTCACCAGTGGTTCAATAGTCAGCGTTACAACGGCCAGAAGAATGCTCAGGGCGAGCTTCGTTTCATTGTCTACCATGATAAGGAGCGCAAATCGTACCAGGTAAGTGTTACAATTGATCCAGAGGCGAGAGACTGACGGAAATCATAAGCACCGTTTTATTGAAACCGCCGTGGGTTCCGCGACGGCAGGCAAGGCTGCGGAGATGGCCAAGGCCTTTGGTGTCGGGGGGGCTGCCGGTGACCAGATCATGGACCACCTCAAGGCCATCGTCGGCGACTACCTCCACACCTTCTAGGTGCAGATGGTGAGCAAGGATTTACTTACAGAAAGTCAATTGATGGCTCACAGACGCCCAAGCATCTCATATATGGTGGAACCTTGGGCCCGGATAAATGGGGAGAAAATCAAGTACAAAAGCATATAACGAGAAAATCCACACATTATATAAGTTATGCTTGTCTTCTGTTTCTTCAGTTATGACCATCTTGTTGCTAAATCGCGAATCGCGTTCTTCTTACGCCCTATAAACAAAAGACTTTCTGTCCGCCCCAGTGACACGATTTGTGCCAAACAATAAAAGTGCTCCTATCTCGAATGAGCTTTATAAGCTGAGGGACCTCTCCTGCGGCAACCCACTTAACTTTGAATGTCGGTAGTACATATTGAATATTCATTCAGTCCACTTGCATCGCTGGCCGTCAATTCTATTAACATCTGCCACAGCCATGGTCCACATCTGCTCCGAATACGGAGGTGAGCGAGCAAAAGGCACCTGTTCGAATCAGGCCCGAGCCATCACCTTTCTAATAGCTTTTCTATCTCTGCTAACTGCCGAAAAAGACCTTCATAATTGAGGCTAAGTTCTAGGTATCAAAGGCTCTGTGGTGGATGGTCGATGCCTACATCTTATGTAAGAGAAACGAAATCATGTAGGAGTCTGTTCGAATCAGGCCCAGCCACTCGTAGAACTTGTCGCCATTTTTTGTCTGAGAAGGGGAGAGGAACGCGGCATGCATCGAGGTTGGGTTGGAGGCTGGAAAGGCTCGGTGGTGGATGGTCCATGCCTGCTCTCCATGAAAGGAGTGAAGACGGTGCATAGCAAGAGGAGTCTGTTCGAATCAGGCCTGAGCCATTCGTTAAAATGGGGTGCGTTTTTGCACGTGAAGGGGAGAGGAATGTCACATAAATTGAGGTTGTGTTCAGGGTAAAGAAGGCTCGGTGGTGGATGGTCCACACCTGCTCTGCATTTCATAAGAGTGATGTTCGACAGCAGGAGGTGCCTGTTCGAATCCGGCCCGAGTCATTCCTGGTCGTCGTCTTTTGTCCGGGAAAGGGAGATAAATGTTGTGTGAATTGTGGTTGAGTTCAGGGTAAATAAGGCTCGGTGGTGGATGGTTCACACCTGCTCTATGTGTGAGGAGGGAAATTTGCACAGCAGGAGGTGCCTGTTCGAATCAGGCCCAAGCCATGTTTTGTCGAAGTGGGGATATACTTTTTTCCTTGAAGGGCGGAGGAATGCCGCGAGGTTGAGTTCATTGTAAATAAGGCTCGGTGGTGGATGGTCCACATCTGCTCTGCATAGGAGACGTGTGCCCGTAACAGCAGGAGGAGCCTGTTCGAATCAGGCTCGAGCCATTGGCCTTCCTCGTTGCTTTTTTATCTCTGCTAACTGCCCAGAAGAAATCTGCATATATTGAGGTTGAGTTCAAGGTAAATAAGGCTCGGTGGTGGATGGTCCACGCCTGCTCCATATATTGTGGCTGGAACATCTGTACAGCAGGAGGAGCCTGTTCGAATCAGGCCCGAGCCATAAGTTGAAATGGTGTCCGTTTTTGTCCGGGAAGGGGAGAGAAACGTTGCATGAGTTGAGGTTGAGTTCGAGGGAAGTAAGGCTCGGTGGTGGATGGTCCACACCTGCTCTGAATTCAGAATAAAGCTATAACCAACAACAGGAGGTGTCTGGTCAAATCAGGCCCGAGCCATTCGTCATCCGATTGCCTTTGTATCCCTGCTAACTGCTGGAAAAACCCTGTATAAATTGACACAACTTGCAAAGGAATAAAGGCTCGGGGGTAGATGGTCCCCACTTGCTCCCCATAAAAGGAGGGAAAAGGTTACACAGCAGGAGTCGTCTGTTCAAATCAGGCCCGAGCCAGTCCTGGTCGTCGTTTTTGCCCGGGAAGGGGAGAGGAATGTTGTGTGAATTCAGGTTGAGTTCAGGGTAAAGAAGGCTCGGTGGTGGATGGTCCACACCCGCTCTGCATCCAGATTGAGGGATATTGAACAGCAGGAGAAATCTGTTCGGATCAGGCCCGAGCCATTCGTAAAATCCGTCTGAATTTTTGTCTGGGAAGGGGAGAGGAACAAGATAGGAATTCCGTACCTTGAGTTCATGGTACATAAGGCTCGGTGGTGGATGGTCCACGCTTGCTCCATCTGGTCGGGGAAAATCTGTACAGCAGAAGGAGTCTGTTTGAATCAGGCCTGAGCCATTCGTCCAAATATTCACCATTTTTTGTCAGGGAAGGGAGAAGAATGCCGCATAAATTGAAGTCGAGTTCGAGGCTAGAAAGGCTCGGTGGTGGATGGTCCACACCGGTTCCGCATACCGGAGTCAGCCGTTGACAGCAGGAGGTGCCTGTTCGATTCAGGCCCGAGCCATCATCGTCGTTGTCTTTTTCTGCCGAGAGTACCAGATGGTTCGTTCACTGCCCAGGGCGAAGTACTATCGGTGCCGCCGGGAAAATGAATATTTCAGCTCAAGAGAGTATTTGTCTGATTAACTTGTGTTTAACAGCGTTCTTGTCCGTTTAACCGTGGCAGCCGCCAGGAGCCCGATACGTACAGAGGCCAGATCATATGGGCAAGACCCACCGCTAAATGGCGCCTGAAAATGCAAACAAAATGTTGCGAGCTTTTTTGAAGTCCGATAGACCCGTCGACGTCGGAATCGGTCTCCCGAGGACGGATATTCGCCAGGTTGTGCAAGGTTGGTGGCAGTGGCGTATGGCACGTTGCCGTACAACAGGTCCAAATACAGGCCTGCTCCCTGCTCTCATGACGAGAAAGCGCATTTCATTCGCGCCCGCGGTTCGGCCTGTCGGGGAAGGTACAATGCTCACGCGTGGATGGGTTGAAGAAGACGCGTCAAGTCGATCAACCGGCCAGACTTGACAGGCCTGGCAAATGGGTTACCCAAACTATTTAATTATAATAATTACTGGCGGACTGCTGCTCGACTGCCAGGATGACCTTCGCGGTGTTGCGCGCGCTGCACGCCATCCTCGGCGACGCTCTCAGCGACATCGAAGCCGTCTACGCCCAGGCCGACCCGACCCCGACCCCGACCCCGCCGCCGCCGTCGCACAGGAAGGCCCCGTCCTTCTCCAAGGCATACGCCAGCCCCCCGCCCTCGCCGTCGTCCCCTCTCCCGGGACTCATCGCCGCCAACCCCACGCGCCTCGACTTCTTCTCGCTCGACGCGCCGTGCGACCCCGCGTCGTCCAGCGAGCAGCTCACGACGCACCCCGCCGTCGTCGCGGCCATCAACCGCATCGTCGCCGCCGCGGGCCAGCTCGCCGCGTCCGTGCAGGTGCCTTTCCTCTCGCTCTGCGACGCGAGCATGGGGTACCACCTCCTGGCCTGCCTCCGCCTCCTCGAGGCCGCGCACGTCCCCGAGCTCCTGCGCACGGGGCCCGTGTACGTTCGCGAGATCGCGGCCCACACGGACGTGGCCCACACGGACGTGGCCCACACGGACGTGGAGCAGGCGACGCTCGGTGGGTGCGCTCTTGATAGGTGACTAGCGTGCTGACTCGGAGATGCACCGCAGCACACATCCTCCGCCTGCTCGCGACGCACCACCTCCTGCGCGAGGCCGCGCCGGACGTCTTTGCCACCAACCGCATCACCGCCCTCCTCGACACCGGCAAGCCGCTGCCCACCCTCGTCGCACAGTGCGCGCCGTTCCTCTCCTCTTCTCTGTTCTCGTTTCTGTTCAGCCTCCTCCCTCGTCTGTCTTCCTTCTTCGCGCTCCCATCTCTTCGCGCGTTTCCTTGTTTTCTTCCCGTTTTTCCAGCCCACGCCCTACTGTGCTTCGACCCATTCGGCCTCTCACTTCACCCTCCCTCCATTTGCCCGTTCTGCTCCCTCCTGCGTCCTCGGATTACCTACCTACTACTACCATCAACTAATCGAACGACCAAACGTACTGACCCCCCCCCCCAATTTTTTTTTTGTATAGCCCGGAGCGCAAGTACGAGGACGACACGAGCGGCGTGGCGGCGTTTATGGGGCTTTGGTGGGTGCCGTTCTCTTTCTTTGTTCCTTTTGCTTTTGTTGCGGTTTGGTTTTGGCGCGTTGGCTGGCGGTTTGGTTGGATTTGGTTTGGATTTGAATTTGGATTTGGTTTCGTTGCCACGTGGATCGGTTATCCGCGACTTCCATTTCCATCCCTGCGACCTGCGCGTTGGTTGGGTTTTCATCTGTCGGTTGGGTTTCCGTTGGGTTCATCTTTTTTCCGTCGGACGCGGGTCGTGTTCTGTGGCGTGGGCGCATGTATCGCCTCTTTTTGATGTGCATACGCACCTTTTTAGCGCGCATATACGCACCCTCCGCACTCGACTGCCGGATCGGATTCTTGATTCTTGATTCTTGGCGCAGGATTCGAACTCCGCGTTGGGGTCAGCTGGCTTTCCGTTGGGTTTATTTTATTCCGTCGGACGCTCGTGGGAGGGACCATATACGCGCATACGCCTATTGTTGTGCGCATCTACGCGCCCTCCGGACGGGGCTGGGCTGCTGTCTTGGCGCAGGATTCGAAGTCCGCGCTGAGTTGGGTTGGTTGGTTCGCAGCGTGGGTGGCCTAGCAACTTTTTGGGACGCGTATACCATGCTGCGCCCGCCCGCTTTTTGTGCAGTTCGGACGGGGCCATACTTGTATGTGTTGCGAGATCGAGCTGGGTTTACGCGCCTGTTTACTGCTTAACCTCGGCTGGCTCCTTGTCTTGCCTTTCTTCTGTATCTCACAATTTGAACATGTCGTATTGATTGTATTGTTCCGCAGCACGGACGAGCTGTACAAGTCGAGCAGTCGGTCTTCCCCGGCGCGGCGCGGCTGTACCCGACCTCTGACGCGTCTGCTGCGCCTACGAGACAGGAACGGGAATTTGAGTGCGAACGCGAACGGGAAGACAACCGGGAGCGGGGCCGCAAGCCCGAACCCGAACCGCTTTCGGCTGGAGCGCTTCGGGAAGGCGATGACGGGGACGGGGAGCTGGGAGGCGCCCGGGGCGGTGTTGCATGGTGGGTTTACGTTCTTGCTTTCTTGCGTTCTCTCTTTCTCCTGCTTTTCGTTGTCCTTTTTTGTCTTTCTTCCTTTCTACATCTTTTTGCTGCCGCCCCTGCCGCCGCCCCGCGCCCCGCAGACGCTGCGCCACGTCTTGTCCTCGCCCGTGCTCAAGCAGCCGTACCAGCTCCACCAGCACCCGAGCCCGCCGTCGCCCGGGCCCTCGCGCATCCCCGCGCTCGCGCGCCGCGCGTCGCACGCGCAACTGCAGCTCCCGCAGACGGAGCTGCGCACGCGCTCAGGGAGCGTCGTACACCCCGCGATGGCGCGCGCCGCGGGTGACGTGGGCTTGGGGAGCCTCCTCTTGAATGGGCGCGCGAGCGGGGGCGCGCTGGACTTTGGGCGCCGGCGCCGGCGGGACGGCTCTGCGGACGCGGATGTGGACAGCGAGAGCGCGGACGACGAGATTCTTTCGGGGCGTGCGTCGCCGGTGCTGTTGCCCGCGCGCTCGGTCCTCGCGGCGGCGGCGCGCATCGAGCGCGGGATCCCGCGGTCGCCTTCGCCGGACCCTTAGAAGCTTTTTCTCCGTCTTTGTCTTTTCCTCGTTCTCTGGGTGTGCATATCTCTCTCTTGTGCTAAATGAATTACAATGGTCTCTTTCGTGTAGTTGCTCGCTATGGCGCTCGGTCTTTATGTATTAGTATTACAGTTATTAGGGTCCTGTTATCGCTATAAATCATTATTGTATGTACGGCGGGGGAGCGAAGAGATCCAGCTTTCATTCTAAGTGAGCGATGTCTGCTGTGTCGAACGTTAATAATTTTTAATGCTGCCTGAAGTGCATCAAGGTCGTGGCATAAACCCAATTAATATTCAAGTTAAAATTACTGCTCCGAGAAGGCCGCGAGGGCTCGTGTGCCCGTCAAAATATTACCGAACGCAGATAATACGACAGCATCTCCGACATATTCGCGACTGGTTATATAACTCAAGAATACCCTTTCGACTCCCTCCACAGCGGCGTCATGGCCTGCGCGACCACGTTCCCCGCCGTCTCCAACACACCCTTCAATTCCTTGTCCATCACCGTGAGGAGCACGCCCCGCGCCTTCCATTTGTCCGGGTGGAACATTCGATGCACGCGTTCGACAAGGCTGTTGTACTCCGCGACGTTATCCGCCATCTGCGCCTTGGCACAGGCAACGAACGTCTCGACCGCATCCCAGTCAATCTGCTCGACGTCCAAGTCAAGTGGGTCCGTGAGAATCGGCCACGGGATTACGCGGAACGTCAGCGGCTGGGCCTCGGAGAACTTGATCCTGTCGAACTCGTCCATCTGTAGGCGCAGCCGCTCCAGGGCGCGGGCAGGCGTCCACACACCGGCGCTCCACCGCTCCTCATCGCGCTTTGCGCACCGCGCTTCCTCTGCTTGCGTCGCGGCCTTCCAGCGTTGCTCGCGCTCGCGTTTTTCGCGCGCCTCCTTCGCTTTTCGTTCGCGCTCAGCCGTCTCGCGCGCCTTGCGC